TACAAAGCATTACATGTTTTATTAAATGTTTTTCCAAACCCTCTCGGCAGCAGACCTGTATCAGGACATGGAATACTTCCTACCACAGTGAAAGGAAACAAGTTTGCCAAAAAAGCTACATAATAATTACATAACTTTGTACGTTTTTAAATGCAGTTTGTGTGGTGTTGCAGCTCCACAACAGGATACTGCATGCACCTACACAAGTTCAACAGTCCATCACCAAACTTAGAAAACAGTATTTTTAGCCTCTGACTTGTGTTGTGTGTTGTGTACTTGTGTAAATCTTATTTGATATGCACACATTGTACCATAATATGAATAGACAGTTGCTGAAAAAGAGCATGTATGTTCAGCCAGTGATGTAATAAGCTGTCACGCCACTTAAGGCATTATTGCTTGGATCAGAGGTAAAGCTGAAGAAGGTTCCAGATTTTAGGATAGTAAAAGGACTAACTGTGACTGTGTTCTTGACAGCCACTTATCACGGGACAGCATGGCTCATATGACGCTCACTGAAGTTAACCAGAAAATCGTATTTCATGTCAAATTCTATTTATATAGCCCGAAATCACAATTTGTCTCAAGGAGCTTTACAATGTGTACGGCATTCAAAACCCTTTGTCCTCAAAGCCTTGATTCTGATGAAGGATCCCTCTCCCAAAATGAGAGACATGCAATTTAAGTCGCGTGTACAGAACAAACCAACAAAATTACATTATATATGGCAGGTACCATTTTGATTATGCATGCCGTTCCTTGTATACAAGTGCACCTATGATTCTTAAAATGAATCTACAGACATCGTCACTGGTGCAGCTGAGCCTTAAATTTTGACCTAGGACACATCTGCTCCCAGTTAATTTTTATGCAAAGAGTGGAAGAGAGAGTTTTGCATGTTGAAATGTGTCTAACTCAGGAATTATTCATAAGAATATTCCAAAGTACCTGTACAGCTACTTTACCAGAATTAGGTAATACTAGAATTACACCACAAGAGGGAGCACAACTGCTTCTCCCCTCAGGTTCAAGAGCTGTATGAGGGAGGACACCTTCCTTTACTCAACTGCCATTCTGTGGAACTGGCTACCCATGAACATTAAGATGATTAACTCTATAGTTAGTTTTAAGTCCTCATTGAAAATAAATTACTGAGTGGCTGTTAGCAGCTAGGAACTGTAGTTATAGGCTGTTAGGTATAGCCTATAACTATATAATTTAATTCATTCTGTTACATTGCATAAATAATATTGTAATTCTAATATTTGTGATAAACTATTTATTAGGATGATGTTCCAGGGACCAGTTTTGTTGGGACCAGTGCAGTACTTTAACTGTTTATGGATTAATATATGATATATGTTGTACATTGTATTGTGACTGATTTGTCCTTTCAAATTATGATTTAGAAGGTGCTAGCAACCTGTTGGCTACCTTCCCCCTATCTCCAATATCTTTTTGTTTCAAGCTAATTGAATGTTATACACACATATCTTATCTCCATTGCATGTACTGCATGTGTTCTTTGTAGGTCTGTGGCATCTGCGTTCTGCTATTGCCATTCTTGGAAAAGGCCTATCAGAAGCTTCCTTCACAACTGTCTTCCTGTACACAACAGAGCTTTACCCCACAGTCATCCGGTCAGTTACTGCCATACAGTCGTATTAAGCTGCTACTTGCCCTACTGGACTTTTAGATGAAATCAATGGGTAAAATATTATGATAATATCATATTAAAATAGGCCAAAAATATGTAAACATAAGCTGTAAAAAGGATGTTTTACCCTTTTAAGTTAATATTGTTTTTGTACTTGGGTTTAGAAACAAAGATGTATTTAGATTTTGATTTAATTACAATGATGAATGATCTTTTGTTGTGTTATGTACAATGCTTCATTAGTTAAGTTTACCAGTTATTATAGTTATTACTATATAACTTACTATATTATAAGTTATTTATTTTTGTAGTTTTTTCCCTTTTTTGTCCACTATTTACAACTTTGGTCCAATTAAGACTATCCAATTCACTGAAATAGATAATTTTATCATTATTAATCATGTGGGACGAGCAAGGTCACCATATTTATTTATTTATTCTTAAAAATACCACTGTATTGGGATACTGTGGGACCATCTGTCAGTCATTTTCAAGGAGACAGACACAGATGCATCAAACACAGATTTCCTCCTGTGCTCTGTATATTTTAGTTTTACACTATAATGTTAAACACAAATATTGTTTTAATAAGAAATAACAATTTGCTATGCTTGTTGTTTCTTACAGGAGTTTATTCTTGGGGTCCCCAGTGAACCTTGTATGTTAAATATGTTGGTAGTATGAGGGTAATGTAAGTTCTCATACTTTACCTTCTGTGTCACCAGACAAAATGGTCTGGGATACACCAGCTTCATAAGTCGTCTGGGAGTATCAGTGGCTCCGCTCGTCCTGCTGCTGGAGGACGTGTGGACTCTTCTTCCTCAGATCATCATCTGCTCTGTGGCCATCATTGCTGGCCTTGTGTCTCTGCTGCTTCCAGAGACACTGAATGTGAGGCTGCCAGAGACAATTGACGACATTGAAAAGCCCAGGTTGGTAAATTAATGCAGCCACAATGTGTGGAATTTGAAAATGTCTTTGGCACCACTTTAGAGCCATCTGGGGGTAGAACTGAGAATGACACTGAAACACAGAAATGAATGCAGATTTTTCTGAAAAACAAGGCTCATCCTGACTTTTTCTTATAACACATTTACAAATCATTTACAGAAATGAAGGACAAAACACTGCCACCCCACAGTCATCTAAGCATTTCCATTGGATTATGTAACATAACAATGAGATCAAATAAAAGAGGCCTGGGTGTCCAGATAGCTCAGTGGGTAGAGCTGGCGACCCATATACCAAGGCTGAGTCCTTGCTGCAGCGGCCCAGGGTTCAAATCCGACCTGCAGCCCTTTGCTGCATGTCAACCCCTCTCTCTGTCCCCCCTTGCTGTCTGTCTTCAACTGTCAACTATAATAAAGGCAATAAAAGCCCCAAAAATATACTTAAATAAAATAAAATAGGCCTATACCTCCATTTGACTTTTCTATAAGGAGTAGGCTACCACTGATTGACACAGTAACATGAACACATGCAATCAAACACAATCTAAAAGAAATAGTAAGTCTCAACTAATATGGATAAGCTTTTAATATTAAATATCTGTTTAGTATGAGTCAGAGATTTATTCATTCAACTCATGTTTAAAGGCCACAGTTTGAGGTTAATTACACTGTATGTTACATTGTAAGGTGTATTTTTTGGTTTCATTTCAGATATAATGACGTCTCCTCTCACTTCATTGAGTCTTCAGGTGTCCTGGAACTAAAGAGCACTACAGGCACCAAGCAGTGAAAAGACGAGTAAAACGAGGAAATACTCATCATACAGAACTATCATACTGCCTTTTGCCAATATTAACAGTGGAATTGAGCACACTGATAATGTATAGCACATCTTGTCTTCTCTGCTATTTGTAAGAAAACTCAGGTCAAAATCTTTGAGTGCTTGTGTAGTTTGTAAACATAATCATTACAGCTGAATATTAAAGATAATGTATTTATAAGGTAAAAACTGAATCAATTAAACTTATCACTGGTTTATCTACAATTGGATTTTATTTGTTGTTTTTGTGGTTTTTCAGACACCACCGACTGCAGTATAATGGAATAATAGGATTGCATGCTGGCAAATATTACATAAAATAAACTGAAACTGTTAGCGGTAGTTATCAAATTTATTAACACTCTTCTTTTTTTCACAAAACATTTTCTCTGCCATTAATTGAAGTACATGTTCCAAATTTCATGGCAGTGCCCCACTGAGTCACATTACAATTGCTGCCAAATCTGAAAAACAAATATACTGTAAATTCAACCAATCTCTACCTTATTTCAAGTTATAAAGTTACAGTTAAAATTAAGTAACATTTTAAAGTGTATGTGTGCAAGAAAATCTGAGTGTAATGAAATCTTTGAGTATGTTCAAATAAAGTGCATGTAAGAGAAAAAAGAAAAAGAGATTTGTTAGAGTGAAGGACTACAAATAAGATGTTTCAGGGAAGGTGCCGTCCTGATCACATTCACACAGTTAGACACATTGATACCTGGAAGCTGTCCAGTACAACCACTGCCCTGCTAGTCACTGGGCATATCAGTGGTGGTAATGAGGGAAGGGCAAGTGTTGCTTCTTTATTTCACTTCACTTTTTCACTTTCTCCCCCATCCAGCTTTATCCTGCCGGTCCAGGGAATTGAGCAGCCGACCTCCCGGTCATAAGCTCAAAAGTCACGCAGCCACAGCATTCAACTCAGGCAGAGCACTGGTTCATTTACATCACAATCACTAACTTATTTAGCAGCTGCTTGGCTACCAGCTGACCAGAATCATCCAATCATATTCATGACAGTGTAAACTGACACTTCTCAGGCTCTGATGATGTCCTAGTGCCAGTGCTGTTTGCTGCCAAAGTTCTCTCCACCACCTCAACCATCTCCTTATGATGCCATGCTATTGTTCCAACGGCCCATTATTCTGAAAGCCCAATAGTCAGAAAAAAGTCCCATTGGACCGCAAGCCCATCATCCTGAAAACAAACCGCCATTGCTCCGAAAATACCAGCCTGGTATAACTTACATTGTTTAACTTCACATGTCACATGCTAATGTACTTACTGGTATTTTAACCCAAACCATGATCTTTTCCCAAACCACACCAAGTAGTTTTGTTTCCTAAAACCAAACTGTGGCCAGCTCACAATGTTAACCACGTGTTTGTTTTTGTTAGCAGACATTACCAATAATTTGCACTTCAAAATACACAAAAATATCAAGGCCAAAAATCTCCAAGGAGAATGAGTTTCAGAGCAATGGGCTTCTGGGTAATCTGTCGGACAAATGGGCTGTCGGTCCAATGGAACATTTTGCAGAATAATGTGAGTATTGGAATCCCCCCCTTCCTTAAAGTCTGGTCTCCACAGTCTCAGCCACAGTATCCACAGTGGGTGCAGTGTTCTTTTTCCGACTTGAGCTTTTGCGACAGGGCAGCGCCTGCAGCACTTCTTTGAGCCCTTTGGTCATGAATATGTAAAGGAAAGGGTCCACTAGAGGGCTGAGGAAGAGCAGTAGGTGAGACACCAGCCCCAGGTATGTCACTGTCTCCTTAAAGGACAGAGCCTCCAAGAGGACGCTGAGGATGAAGGGGACATAAAGAAAGGTGTAGTTGGCCCAAATTGCACCAATCCCCCACACAGCCCTCTTCCTCTCAGGGGTCGAAGGGTTAGATCGGGAGCAGATCAGAGCCCTCCAGGAGTCCACGGCAAAGAAGAGGAGGAAGGGGAAAGGAGAGAGCAGAGACACTGCGAAATAGAGTTTGTACTGTAGCACAGCGAGGGCCAGGATGCCGAATGGAGCAGCCCATGCCGCCAAGGTGACTGCAGGAGACCGCCTGATACGGGTACAGCAGCCAAGACACTGCGGGTAGGCCATCAGGAGATGGCGCTCCTGAGCTATGAACAGCATGAGGGTGACATTGGAGATGACACCAAAATAGAAGATGAAGTCTGTGGGGTTGGAGGAGAAGGCGGTCCCACTCGCCATGTCCTGGTTTACGTCGGGACGACCAAAGAAACTGATAATGTCAGAGACCAGGAGGAACACGACATGCATGGGAATTTTGTTCTCACCTGGACAAAGAACAGAGGAACAGAAATGACTAATATACTATACTGATACTTGAGCTTATTTGTAAATTAATTTAAAAAAATGAAAAATGTGCTGCTGCTGACACTGTGCTGTGATTATTACTACTACGACTGCTAGTACTACTGTATGCATTACCACTAATATTAATTATATTACTACTGATAGGCATTCTAATACTACTGATACTGATACTATTAATAGTGCTCATACTGGAACTACAACGACTTCTGGATGCTATTAATACTATGATTTTATACCATTACTGGTACTAATGATAATGCTTCTGCCACCCACCCAGCCTTTTGTGTTGCATTTTTCTCACTCTATCAAAGTTCTTTATGACTGTTAAACTGAAACTGAAACTGCTTTAAGGGCCAAATACAGCCTCACTTGAACACTTACTAAAATAACAGTATGTGCAAGGATTATTTGTGTATTAAATGATAAAATGAAAAACACCAACTATATCTCGCCAAGACCAACTGGAATTGCAGTTTTGTTTCGGGGTGCTACCGAGCTAGCCTAGCACAGATCAAGCCAAGTCCCTTAACACCCCCTCATCCCACTTTGGTTGATTCTCAGATGTGTGTAGGAGGTGGTGGTATGTTAAATGATTGGTGTTGGAAATATAGCAGAGTGAGTACAAACCTTTGGACAGATTCTTGAGGGTGTAAATAGCCAGTGCAATGGCGGGCAGCCCGATGCTGAACGTCACCCATTTGATCACATTGGCTACCTGGACAGCGGTGGGCGTGGTGTGGTTACCAGTGAGGTTTCCAGTGACGTAGAGGACGGGGACAGTTGTTGTCACTGTGTTGTTGTCAGCCATAAGAGGCCACACAGAGGCTATTTATGTGTTCAGCTGTTCAGATTAGCATTGAGATGGCCAGTGTGTCGCTCAGTTGATGTTATGGATGCATTTGGTTTTAACGGAGACCACCTCAGTCTAGTTTCAGTCAAAACAAAGGTGTATCATGAGAAATAAATTAGCACTCAACAGTTGTGTATCTTAATTGTGAACCATTTAAGAAAGATTGCAGTGGTTTTTTTTGCTTTGAAAGCAGACAGGCGTGTTCAGTTATCTGTCACCCATGAATACACTACTGGATGGTCTTTTTTTTTCAGATTTGGAATGTTTTTTTTTTTTTAACATGATATCTACAAAATGTTTTGTATGGAAACGTGAGCCAAAAAATATCATGGTGATCTATTTTCTAAGTCTGCTACACACTGCTTTCTTTCCTGTGTTTATGGCTGAAGAAAGGTAGTGCCAAAACATATTAGAATATGGGCCACAACAGGCTGAAGTGCACCACTACCCCATGTTGTAAATATAAAGGACTAAAAGCATTCATATTTTCTTCAAGATTAATTTTAATTTCGCCATGCCATGCTAACATTATAACATAATTTACAACAACAAGAAAACACACTCAGGAGAGAAAACAAGTTAACTCAGACTTAGAACATTTTTTTTTTTTTCACTTGCTCCTTGCCTTATTGCCTGCAGTAATCTTGTTCCTGGCCACTAAGGGGCGGATAAACATCAAAACAAGCCGACAGACACACAGCCCTGACATATTATCACCTTACTAAGTTGTTATGGGGATGTTATCAAACAGCTGCCTTTGTACACACGTGACACATTTGAAGTTATGTTTGTGTCCACCTGAATAATAATACTAGTCATATATGTTCTCTCCTTTTAGCTCTGGTTTAACTCTCTAAAACTATGAGGCTCTTTAGCTGCTAAAAGTTCTACTTTCCTCACCAATGACTCTAACTGTTCCTGTTGTTTGGTGCTGAGCAAGTAGGGTAACGCAGCTTTTATCAGAGCTTCTTTGATAAAAACAGCTGCAAGCAGCCGCTGGTAAAATGGTTTATGAGAGACAACCAGTAAGTGTGTCATATTACCAAAACTATGAACCAAAAGACACTAAAAAGCACTAGTGATGATTTCAGAACTAAGGTTAATTGATGTTGATGTAAAAAAAAATAAATAGTAATAGCTAATTAATGCATGTTTAATAGTCCTTTCAGCATGCCAGAGAGTTTTACATATCCACATCAGTTGAAGCCAATGACTCCATCTCCATTTCTCACATAATTAAAACATTTTCAGGTTTTGTGGTCCCTCCTGTTCAAGGGCCCAATTTCTTTTCAGCCTCTTTTAAATTTCCAAAGCACATAAGTCATCTTATCAACCTTTATCTTACCTTAATGTTCATGTGCGAAAAAAACCTCAGTTGTCATTCCACCTGGTATACTTCTGAAAAATAGATTATTGGCAAATCCTGTTCAAATATATCAATTCCCACCTACAGTGTGAGAGACAGTTTGTCTGTCTGATTATATTTTTGTGTGTGTTTGCATCAGGTCTTATTGGAAACCATTTATTGCTCTGAGCCTCCTTATCTCCACAGAGCTCAGCTGGCTGCTTTGAATGAAGCCTGGATGTGCTGAATATTCTCCACTGGTTTACATGGTTCGTTTGCTGTGCTCAGGATAAAGCAGGGAGTGAATATTTGCATGAAAGACCAATGTCAATATATGGCAACAACCTTTATCTTAACTTTATTCCTGTATGTTTCTGTGGCTCTACACAAAAGGGGCACTCCTTACACATGCAAATCAATTTACTTTTCATAAAGAGCACCACTTAGCCTGTGTATGATGTCTTGTTTGGTTCTGGAGAAGTTTGTCAAGTGAAACAAAATAACCCTAATGATGTCATCTGTGTTATCTTTTTTAACAGAAAGCCTGTGTTACAAACTGGAGGTGCAGAGTCTGAAAGACAAAAGACACTATTGAGTTAAATAATGGGAATTATGTAGGATCCAGCATTTGTGTGACTATTTTCCAAGTACTGCAATTCTCTATTGTGTCTGTGTTATGTGTGCTACAGTAGTATGGACAGCATGTCCAAAATTATATGAAATTGCCCAGGGTGACATCTCCATATGACACCTATCCTCTTTTAAATAAGAACGTATAGTTGTTTAAACAAGTTTTTAAAAATTGACCTTTTTACACACTGAAACTCAGCGTCTTAAGATGCAACCTTTTAAGTTACCTGTGGACCTTCTGACAACTAGCAATGTTAAGGAGCAATGCTTTTACAAATGGGTCCCCATTTTATACATATTTTTGCTGTTGGTTTCGTGCTATTCTGGTGATTCACAGTCAGTCGTGGTAATATGCAAAGAAAGCTAGCTATAAAAAACACGGATGTAAATAATTCGTAATTTAGAATATATTTTTAAATCAGCTTTCCAGGGAAATAAAAAGAAAATGCAGTTGTTAGCGCTCAATGCATTTTGGTGAGCAATACTGAATGTAAACACATATTGGGTTTTTTTTTCCAAGATAAGCGCACCTTAAAATGTCTAGGATCTATTGGCAGAAGTCCACTCCAGAAAAAAAAAAAACACTTGGTAAACATTTCAAACCGTCCACAGGGATGCTAGGTTGTAATCTGAAGTACTTTGTAATCTAAAGAATGTGATTCTGAACTGAGAGTGACGACCCAATGGTTAAGTACTGAAGGTGTCAGCCTCAGTGTTTGGCAACTGAGTCACTGAACAATGTTTCCTGTTGTGGCACAGTTACTGAACAATACAGATGAAGCCACAGTCAGCCCCATAGGCTGAATATATCAACCAAAGGCAATAAATAAACAGCTGTCAGTCTTGTTGAAAGTGTCGCTCTGACACATGAACATTTCATGGCCACTGGCATGCATGGAGCCGCCTCATAAACAGTGGAATGAAAACATGACATAGCACACTATATACAGTATCTGCAAATACACAACCAGCAATGAATCATTATGAGTGACAATTGGGATCGCATGAAAAACAGAAAAAAAACCTATTTGAATTATGAGATTAAAGGCCGAATACAAATATAATTCTGAAATAGAATAATAATAACATAAAGCATTTTAACCTTACCTCAAAAATCTAGGTGACACGGAGCAAAGGGTCACAGGTCGGAGTCAAACCATTGACAGTATGGCCGCTGCAGCAAGGTTTCAGCATTGGTACATGAGGTGCCTGCTCTAACAGGTTAGCTACCAGCTAATATAAAAGACGCTGTCAACACATTACAATAAGAGAGGAATGACAAATCAGGGACAACTTGATAAGTTCTGAATATTATCAATGAGGGACTATATAATCGATAATGAAGAGTTACCAGAGATCAAACTGGGAGATGCCATATTAATGACACATTAAGTAACGGTCAGTTCATGAATATCTGTGAATGGATCATACTGACCACTTTCTTCATGTGACCCAGCCAGTGAACGGCAAAAAACTAGTAACGACTCATTCATTAATAATTGATTAAACATTAGCGACTGTTTCTGTGGCCCCTAAAGTAGAGTGGCGCATCATACTGAGTACTGAATCATTACTTCATCATTATTAATGATTAATGCAAGTGAGTCAGTATGGTACAGTAATAACTTCTACATAAGCTACAAAAACTATTCAATTACATGAATAATTTATTATTTTCTTTGGTATTTGTGTCATATACAGATAAGCAATGATGATTGCTGGATAGGCAGATTACCAGATGTATTGTACCATTTTAAATTACCCAGCAACCATCACTGCATATCTGCATATGACAAAAAAAGAATAAATGACTCATTTAATTGAATAGCTTTTCATAGTTTGGATAGTTTGTAGAATAAGCATATCATGTTATTAAAGATTGCTACTGACTATTTAAAAAATGGGTTTACCTTTTCAAGGGCATTTATAGCACTATTTTTGAGGGGACAATTTTAATAACTTGTATTATTCATTAAATATTGCAGTAATGATTTAGCACCACTTTACTTTAGGGGCCATAAAATCATTAAAGTTTAAGTAATTAGTAATGAATGAGTCGTTACTAGCTTTGAGCCGTTCACTGGCTGATTCAGATGAAGAAAGTGGTCAGTATGATTCTCACAGATATCCATGAACTAATCATTAACTAGTGTTTCATTAATATAGGACCTCCATGTTGAACTGCCATGTTTCTACAGTAACCCAGAAGGGACAAACCAAACACTGGCACTAGATAGGGGTGTTCACATTTTTCACAAATTTTGCAGCCATCATAGTTTCTCCTTCGCACGTGAAAGGGAAGTGTGAAGCGACCGAGTCGCGATCTGCCACAAAATCCTACACACTGGACCTTTAAGGCATGACTAGAAAATATTTTGAAATGTTAAATAGGCTCAAAGAGAATTTTCAAGACTTTTCTTTTTTCTGTATGTGATCAAGAACAATATAGCGAGAGGATGATTGGACTCGCTGCTATCTGACACTTAATGAAAAACCAACATCAGCCTAATGTGTCAGTATGATCCTGGTGTGGTGACTAATGAATCAACCAAAACTGTTAATTTGCTGTGAGAGAACTCATACTGGGGTAGATAAATTGTGAGCACATCAGCGGCTGCTCTGCCTGCTGTCAGCCATTCAGGTCCCCTGACATGTAAAAACACATCAAAGCTTCATCCTTCTGCTTCATAGTTCACTTGTTGAGCTGAGAGGGGACTTTAAAAAACGTTGAACCCCCCTCGGCTCTTTTCAGTGTGTCTTTACAGACGATCTGTTCAGGTCTTGCTACAGTTGACCTGTGCCCAGCAGGATGCTCGGAGAAACAGAGCTATTGTTTCTTCAGAAAGGCCCGGGCATGTTGCTTTGCATCATGGGAAAACCAGCATGGTGTTGTTGATGGTGCGGTTTGAATAACCTGCTGACAAAATGAATCCTGCAGATTCTGTGTGTTTATGCTTGTCTTAGGTTCACATTTCTTATGTAAGCCAATGTTGTTTTTTATATTAAGGGCCTACTTGTATTTGACTTAAAGGAACTACAAGGCGTTTTGAACTGTGTACGAAACAGTTTCAGTTTAATACTGTTGCTTCTTTATGACCTACATAAGCAAACAAAACCTTCAACAAGGAGATAAGCTATTTCTAATTAGTTATTCTTAATCCACCGTGTTGGATTCCCCTTGAAATCAAGGTGGTAGAAACACTACTCCACTACACCACTTTTTCCACAGGGGCCGCCAGAATCAACATGAAACTAAAGACCCTTGATGCTGCTTTAAAACCAACAATTATTAATATGTCTACATAATGTGAAACTGACCTCCAGGTATTTTAGTTTGCAGTATTGACAAAGTATATTTATGTGCATCCGTCTCGCCTTCCCCCGGCTCAGCAAGTGAGAGATCAGTTCCTCCAGACTGTGACAAAAATAAAAGCCCTTGAAATGCAAATTCTGAAAATGACAGTGTTTAATGTTTGATGTCAACACATAAATGAGCATGTGACTGAATACTTTGACCAGGTGAATGTAAGCATGTTAGTATCTTTTATAACCAAGGCCACAGCCGGGATTTTAGAAATACTGATGTCATGTTACTTTAATTTGTTAAATAGGGGCCATGGCTTCTATGTTAAATGCCTAAAAGAGGAACTCTCTTTTATCTTCTAACAATTTCTTTCCACACCATTCACGTATTTCCCTTTTTTTCTACTCATGTCTCTCTATTTTACTCACACTCATTCTCCCTTATCAAAATCCTTCTGTGTTTTTCCCCCCATATATGTTCATGTGTTTTGTGTGTTCATCTTTACTTCTTTTTCTTTATAGGAGTCCGTGTCCTTCCAAAGCAGCCTCTGTTAAAGTTAGCTAGATGATAGATTTAAAACTAATAACATTAATAATGAATAAATGCGATTAAATAAATAAGTAGGTTAAGTGTCTACTATCTTTTTCCAAAGCTCTCAACTGCATCTCATTGGTGGACAGTTTGATCAGTTATCCTGATGGAAGTTCGGTCACTTGATAAAAAAAAAGATTAAATAACATTTAGCTGTGACACTCCTTTTTCTCTCTTCCAGAGCTCAAGGCTGAGATGATGTTAACATGTATTCCCAAGATTACAAAAACTGCTTCGGCACCTCTGGGTCAGACCTTCAATTTACACTCAGCTGTGACTAGATTGACTCTGTTACTCTTTTATTATCCTGCTTTATTAAATAGACTAAAGATAACTATGTATTGTACCATCATTTATTTATTAATTTCTCCATAATTCCCACTACAGTTAACAGATGGTTGTATATAAGGAGGCAGGCTGTATTTCAGGACTAACCTTGGTGAAAAACACATTGCCTTTCCTCTGACTTTATTGTGAGGCAGCAGCAGTAGGAAATGGGATATAACCGAAAACAGTAACGATGTATTTGACGGTGCATGCTTCCAATGAATCCCAATTAGAGGTCAGGAATAGCGGACCCCCGTCAGTAAACATGAAAACTACTGGGCTATATAGTGAGGTAACCAAATGTAAATACATTAGTCCCTGGGAAAAAGCCATCCACATAGGCCTACTATAAAAAGTCTTGCGGTGCATATTTCAAAATATTACTCTTGTCCATTTAAACACACACACTCTGTAGGCTATATATAGATGGACTACTGGCATATGCTGTTTCACCTTGACGGTTGGCTGCTGCGTGTTATGTGCAGTTCCAGGCGCCTCCACTGCGCTTCAGATCATTTCCTCCATGAGTCTTCATGCAGCAACAGGGAGGGATATGCTGTATCATCCATCCCGGCAGACGCTCGCTCCTTTAGTCGCACTCCTGCAGCTCCATCATGGCTCTCAACATCCCCGGAGTGGCTGTCATGATGTTCTTCTACCTGCTGGTCCTCGGGATCGGCATATGGGCTTCCATCAAGTCCAAAAAGGAAGCCAAGAAGGGCCAGGGGGATAAGACGGAGATGGCGCTGCTGGGCAACCGGGGCATCAACCTGGTGGTCGGCATCTTCACCATGACAGGCGAGTAACTGCGGTAAAGGAACAGGACATCATGGAGTCATCTTGCTCTTTAATTTTTTTAGATAAGATCCTCTGCTTCTGGTTGTATTTTACTGACGATATTCTGCCTTTCAACAGTTTGCCTGTGTGTCCCTGCGATCTACGTTAAATGATGTAACATTAAATCGATCTCTCTTGTTGGGTCTTAAAATCTTGCATTGGTAACAAGAGCCTAATGATGATAATGAGGATGATAATAATATCAATCATTAGAATAATAATGATAACAATAATAAAACAGAAGAAAACAACACAATGTGCAATGCAGTTTCACATTTGTACTGCAGCGACATCTAAGCAGCTTGATGGATCCCAACGTGCCAAATTTCAATTTCAGGGCTGCTAGAAATTCTATAAATATATATTTTAATCGGCCAATAGTAACTGATTTGACAATCTTCTTTTGTTTTTTTCATGCATGGGACAAAACCAATAGAAACTGCCTATAGAGGAGGAAGCCACAACAAAAAGAGGAACTTAAAATGGTTTAAAATAAGCTGAGTCAATTATATAAAATATAGCAGGAAATGTGTCAGTATATTTTTTGAAACTCTGCATTATTCTTAAGGGTGTCCACTTCTTTATTTTATAATAATGACTGACTTGTTTAAGCTCACATTGTGAAACCACTTTAAGGACATGGACATTCTAAAGTAATTGGCCATTAAATTTACAGTAAATTCCTATTTAAATTTAATAAAGTTACAGTAGACAGACTGGTTCCTGTTATCAAGTTACAGACGTTAAAGTTTGGCACAAGCAGCTGCCAATCAACCAGCTACTGTTCTCTGCTTGTAAGTGAAACTGTGTGTGTATGTGTGATACAGCCACGTGGGTTGGAGGTGGATTCATCGTGGGCACAGCAGAGGCAGTGTACAACCCCTCCATGGGACTGATCTGGGCCGTAATGCCAATCGCAGCAACCCTGTGTTTCATCATTGGTGAGATTTGCTTTTAAAGTCGTGTAACAGGAACAGTTATTACACAGGGGTTGTGCGTATTAAAGGAAAAGTGTATAGATCTGGATACAAGTGGCCCCTAGAGGCTTTAATGCTCATTACACACCACACTGGATGGATAAAAATCACTAGCTGTGCAAAAATGTAAAGTCTGTGCTGAAGGTCAACTGTTCTTTTTAGGAAAACAAGAACATCTTCTGTTAAATAATTGAAACAATTTACATTTTCCTTGTGGATTATGTGAATAATGTCCTCTCTAAGAAGCAAAGGTGGACCACTTGAGTCAAGTCAGAGAAAAGTCGACTTAATCGACTTAAAAAAACAAAAAACCCAGTGCCCACTAAATATTCTTCACAGTGTTGTGTTACTGTTGTTTATTGCAAGAGTCTCCAACCACCCAGTACAGTCCTTTGGATAGAAAAGTCTGAAATGTGACAGGAACAGGAAACCTTTCTATAAATTATATGATTGAAATGAAATGAAATGAAATCGCTCTACACATTTCTACATAAAACTACAGGTCTAAAATGAGTATGCTTGTTTGTTACATGTAAAAGACATAATATGGAGCGTTATGTGTTTGTAAATTCTAAATCATTTTGCATTATGGGAACTGACAGCAGAGCGGCCATGTTGATAGAAAAATATCTTGCTACCAGACTTGAGCATAGGAGTAGCATGATATTCTTGTATCACCAAAAAATCTATAGGGAGGATGTCAGGGTGGATGGTTGAATGAACAAAGCATTTGATCCAATCTCCCACTAATTATAGTTACAATCTTTTCCTAACCTCAGCCAAATAGTTTTAGTTGCTTACATTTAACCAGACCTTAAAGATCCCCTTCAGACATGTATTGCAACTTATATACCAATAGTCTGCTTGGAACAATGTGTATCTGATATTGTTTATGAAATGTTTTAACATTTTGCTGCCAGAAAGAGGATGTCTCCTATTTCACTGTAAAGTCCATTCTCCCCCTTAGAATCAGATTTTCAATGAGCACAGAGAAACTTTCCACTTTCAGCAGATGAATGTGAAAACATCTTTCTAGTGTCAAACTCTGCACAGACATTCTGAACAGTGAAGATCAAACGTCCCACTGTAGGAACAAGAAGACATATTTTTGAGTGGATGGCTCTAAATATAGAAGTGGCAAATCACAAAACACTCATAGGAATAGTTTAAGTTGTAAAATGGCCAATTTAGGACATCTCAGATCCAGCTTGTCAGGCTCAGCTCTGTAATACTTTGCTTGAAGTACTGACAGGACTTCGGTCATTAGTTTCAGAGGTACTGTATCAGAAATTAAAGTGTACATTTGTACGTTTTGGTTTTATCATATAAAAACATAGACATTTAGTTTTTTATCTTTGTATTTTGACTGGAAGGCTTACACTAGCTACATATGTTTACAGTATATGTAGAAATAGACGCAGGTTTAGAGAAATGGGGGTTTCCCAAATCCGTAAATTACAGCACCTCAGCATAAATTAACTCCTGATATGCGTCGCAAACCTACCTGGGAGTGTACAATAATAATATTAGAGGACAGATTATTTTCTTGAATATCAAGACATTCATGTTTTTGATTGATAGTTTTTTATGAATGGAAACACGAGTTATGTAACCTCAACTTCCCTTATGTCTGGAGATTAGCAGAGAAAAACAACATTCCTCTTCCACATGAAAGTCATGTGAGAAAAGAAAGATCCTAAACCCTGATGAATGTACACTGGCATTAATGTGGTTACACAGTGACACAGTTATTGTGAAAGTGTTGTTTGTGCTTTATGAAATAAAACATTTACATTACAGAGGCACTATTTCACAAAGCAAATCATATATATATTTACCGAGTGTGCATATCGTTTAGGATGCCATAGTGTCTAAATTGATTGAAGAAGTGGTTTACCACTTCTGCTAAACAGCTTCCCATGGAAAATCCAAAATATTTTATCTTTGAAGTTAAAGAGACATTTGAGAACAATAAGAATATTTAAACCAGAAATGGAATTCAACTGCTAAGAGTGAGATATCTGGTCAATCAAACTAATTAATAGCATTTTCGAATTCAAAAGCTGAATGTTGAACATGCTTATCATACATTTAAATGACAAAAACCTGTCTAATACATTCAATCACTAAATCTTTCTCCTTGTCTTTCCATGTTCCATCAATGAGGTGGCCTGTTCTTCGCTGAGCCGATGAGAAACAATAAATATGTGACCATGATGGATCCTTTCCAGATCAAGTATGGAAAAGTACCAACGGCTGCTCTTTCGTTGGCTTCACTGGTATCGGAGATTATGTGGGTGACAGGAACACTCATAGGATTAGGTAAGAATGTTTCTGTGTGTGGGTGTGATGCATTTGATACTTGTATGTTGACCCTGGCAGCAGAGCAGCTGTTGATCGCAGCTCTTTGCTGAAGTGTTGAGTGAAACACAAGCCTTTGTCTAATTGTACAGTTGTCTGAAATAACTGCATCAACAGAAGAAGACCTTAAATCACACTGGTAACCACTGGAGTGATGGGTCTGAGACAGTAATGTGGTGTTAAATAAACAAACTGCATCATATTAATCAAATAGAACATACAGTTGACCCTTTATAAGCGCCGTGCCTTTTGGAACCTCGGTCACCTTTCCTGTACTTATGCTAGGATTCGAAGATGTTTAAAAGATAGCCTAACGGCCTTAACACTTGTGGGACGCGACGAATAAACACAAAAATGCAAAATACTCTCCTACAAATAATTCTTTTAATGCAGCTCATTAAAAGAAAAAATAATGAATCACCTCATAAAAACACCCCCAGCGTATAGTCACATCTTAAGTTGGCTAATGTTAGCCAAACACTAGCGATCTAACTAGTTAAACTCATTAGTTAGCTAGTGTTTTGCTAACATTAGCTATTAGAAGTAACTAGCTAGCTAACAATTAACAATGCTAGCTAACAATGCTCTGTAGCTAACTTGCTAACTAGCTAGCTAAGGATTGGTGTAGATTAGCTAGCTAGTGAAGATGTGATTTATATGCCGCTTTTATTTTTTAACCGTCTTCAAAATGTGGTTGTCTTTTCCACATAGTACAGCTAACACGTGTTTCCCCAAGGTTGCAAAGGCATGACCCGCTCACTCTGCCTCTGATTGGCTAGTACTCGTTGCCCTCATTTGTTTGATTGGTTGGGTTTAGGCATGAAGAGTAAGGCTGGCTTTACACGACAACGCTCCCGGGTGAAACCGACAAAATATTTTATCAGATGTGCCTTTCGTTTAGACGGCGACAGCGTTTTTGGGGCTTAAAAACGTAACAAAATGAACCCACCCTCCAGAGTGGGAATCTTAAAAACGCTCCACTGTTGCGTTTCCGTCTAAAGGGTTAACAACGCAAAAGTGTGCTCTGATCTGCTCATGCTGGCTCTCGTCGCGTACGCGTTGACGTCACCTAGCCACCTGGCATGCATACTACATCAAATTTCACACACTTTTGCGTCACCGTGTGCACGCAGATTTCCCCCCAAAGACGCTCGTCTAAACGCGGAATGAAAAGTGGGAATGCAACGCCACTTTTGCGGTTTGTGTTCAGATCGTTGTCGTCTAAAGCCAGCCTAAGATCGCTTAGGGTGAAAATGTCAAGATAAGCCAATCAGATGCAGGGTAGGGTGGGTCAGTTTTTACTGAGGCTTGTTCAACTGTTATTGGTCACAGAGCAAAAAGGGGAGGGACTTAGGAAGCATTCATTTAATTTTAGATTTTAATGTATATATATGGTAAATGTATAGTGTACAGATGCTATGGCTTTGACCTTTACACTAGATTTGGTTGTAATGATAAAAATGTAGGAATTTCAGCTTAAAATCCCCTCTAGACATCTATTAAGACACGCAAATAATCTGCTTAAAACTTTCCACTAGCAGATAAATGTGAAAACATCCTTCCAGTGTCAAAGTCTGCACATATGCGTCATTCTTGTGCTGTTTCCAATAGTCTGAGTTCATATTAGCTTGTAATAGATATATTCATATTGGTATACATGTGTCAAGAAATTCCAGTACAAAAAATGTCACAGGAATGTTTAAGGTAATTTAGAAGCAGTGTCTCTATTAGGCTGTATAGTTTGTTCTCTAGATAATCCTTTTAAAATGTGTGTTTATGTTATGTGTTATGAAAAAATATATACTTGCTGATAAATTATTATTAAGACTTCACTCCCAACTCCCAAATATAAATATCTGCCTCAATAATCCAATATTTGACAGGTTATACTAAACTGTAAACATATAATACAACTTTTCTTTGTCTATATAACATCACACCATTTCTTTATTGTAATAATTTAAGGATCATTGATCTCTCGCTTCTGCCGTTTTTACTACGGTGATGATGGCTGTATCGGGCCTAATTGTGGTAATAAATAATAACATCAATAAAATCTTTCATCTTGACATAAAGGATTCTACAGTCAACGGCTAAACAGTTAAAAGTTTCAGCTACAAGAAACCAAATGGTGCATCAATTATATCAGGCGAACTGATAAGAAACTGAGCCATTTTAAACACTTGCAGGTGTGATTCATTGTAATGTAGTTCTGCTGATAAAGAAGTCTGAAGCAAACCTTCCCTTGGTAAAGATTTAAATAAGGATTAGATAGCCATATGCTGCCTGGCCCATCCAAGTTCCAGATTGCCTATATGTTTCCAGTTCAAACTGTAAAATAAATTACCTGTAAAAAAGAGCTGGTTGCTGCATTGCGGTCCAACTGTCAAAATAAGAAAGTAAGTTTTATGGGTTTATTGAGTTTCCCTCAGCATCAATAAACTTCCAAATTTCAAAATAAAATATTTCTTTCTGTATCTTATCTTATGGTTAAAAATTTGTTGGAGTGATAAGATACGAGATAAGTTTAGTTAAACACTGAGAGCGTTGATGTTTGGTCTACATCATGATTTTACATCTTTACAAATCTGAAATGCGTAACCGAGTGTATTGACATAGTGTGTTTAAAACACTAATGTGTATGCATTTAATAGGTGTAACTATGAGTGTAATCTTGGATTTGTCCTACACTGTGAGCATCTGGATTTCTGCTGCTGTGGCCATTACCTACACCCTGATGGGAGGTCTCTACTCTGTGGCCTACACCGATATCATACAGCTCATCCTCATTTTCATCAGCTTGGTGAGTTATTGTTATTTCCTGCTTCCTGATGTATTCCCATACGGTGTTTAAAGCACAGAGCTAGAGCTGCAGGTGTTCCGTCAAGCGTAGCATAAGGACCGGAAGCACTGGGAAACAGCTGTTAAACAGAAAAGTAAAAACTTTTTTTAATTTTACGGCAAGTTGCGTGCTGGAACTATTTCTTGATGAACACCAATCTATGCAGCCTGCTCAGTACATCTGTGCATCCGCATAGTGACGAGAGAAGTCACTGCGGCCAGCTGTGTAACATGAAACAGTTAGAGCACACAACTTCCTGTCAAACCACAATTTGTCATTTTGACATTTCTATTTGTGTGCAGAAGACGTCTTCATTCATCAGCTCTAGAGGTGTTTAGAGCTTGTATTTTTGAACTTTGGTGACAGCCATGCTAGCTGTTTCCACCTGCTTCCACTCTTTATGCTAAGCTAGGCTAATTGCTTGTAATTTTTGAAAGTACAAATAACATATTTATTCATTTTATGAAAAGGTTGAATTCACACACAACAAAACACATCCTTGCTCACTTTAGTATGCTCAGTGGCAGACTCAGGCTGTTTGAGAGGGATGGGCAAAAGAACAGAAGCACAGGAAGCGCCCTAGTGCAAAGAAGGTTGTGATGCATTTATTGTGAAACAGGGTTAAGATTAGCACCCTAGAGGGTAATTTATCATGTTTTATCTACCATGGAGGCATCTGAGAGCGCACTTTATGGCATTTTTTCACACATGGGCACCAAGGAGGGCAATTAATCTATTTGCCCCTCTTTGCTCCATGCTCTAACAGTTGAGCAAGCGTCTCATTTCCTGTGCTAAGATATGCTACGTGCTAGCCTTGTCTATGCTCGCACATTTTGAAGCTGGTTAAAAGATAAAAGCAACATATATAGTCACATCTTAAGTTAGCTAATGTTAACGAAACCTTGACTAACGATTGAAAAATGCTACTTAACTAGCATTTTGCTAGCATTAGCAATATGTAACTAGCTATCTAACAATTGAGGTAGATTTGCTAACTAGACAGGCCTTGCACATAGCCTAAGTAAGTAGGCTACAGGAAAGGAGAAAGGTCACGAAGGTTCTTGCTCAACTGTTATTGCCTCACAGAGCAAGACAAGTCAATTGAGTGAAAAATAAAATGAATATGTTGTTTAAAGATTAACTTTAATGAGCACCAGTTGCTATTAGTGGTCTTACATGAGGTCCTTTGTGAACCTTATTTGAGAAATACCTGCCAGCTAGCATTCTAACTTTGTTTCCAGTCAGAAGGTTGTTAGTGTGCTGTACTGTGCTGAAGGTTATTGCTTTTTCTCAGTGGCTGTGCGTTCCCTTCGCTCTGATGAGCCCCGGTGTGTTGGACATCACTGAGACAGCATACAACCACACCTTCCAGTCTCCGTGGGTTGGCACTCTGGAGGCAGACAGAGCCTGGAGGTGGATCGATAACTTTCTACTTCTGGTAAGACTGGAAGGGTTCTCATGAAATTCACTGTGTTTTAGGTGAAGCTTTTTTAGGAGTTTGTTCAAGGATGTCCTATTTCACTGTTTTATTAACTCATGGGCAGCATATCTGGTGTCAGGTTTGGATTGGAGAGGATCCAAACAAGACGATTAGAATGTGCTGCATGTGTTTCACAAACATTCTCCTCAGGTTTCTTGTTTGCGTAGAACCCGAAAGAAGAGAAATGTGAATCCTGTCATTTGAAGTGGTTGCTAAATGGGACTTGTAAAGCTAGCTAAGTTTGGTTTTCTATAAGTATACTGCAGCTGAGATGAGCTGATAATCATGACACTCTGTAAAGAGGTCTAGCTAAATCTGAAGCTTGGGTGGGGGACATTGAAGCATTCCTTTTTAAGAGGTAGAGGTTTTGAGACGAGGATGATTGAGCAACTCCAGCTTCTGTTCCTCTCTGTGTGTTATTACATTTTAGTCACAGAGCTGTCATCATTAGTTTTGCCAAAAAATATTTTTCTTCTAAAATCTAACGTATAAAGTATAAAGTACAAATAGAAAATAGAAAACTCACTTAATATATATAAGGACACCTAATAATAAAACCTTTAAAGCCTCTGGTAATGTGGCTTCAAAGGGTGCAATCACAGTGTGATATCAAGGTTGAGTGCCTCATTAATCATCCACAAAAATGTGATAATAATAAAAAAATGAATAGCCATTTGAAAACCGAATTAAAAGCTGCTGAATTTGTGGTTTATAGACTATTCATCAAGATTGTGTAGGCGTGGCAGTTTTGAATGATCCCTCAGTACTGTTGTGGATAGGACAGAAGCTAAATGTATTTAAGCTACCAAGAAGGCCCACATCAACAAAAAATCAACACCAGCGTAAGGTTACGTTATATTTATTTTATTTTACTATATTTTTGCCCTTTCTGACAGGAAACTGAAACCATTACTTGCTGTGGGTCGGGGCAGCTGTAGACCAACTGTTCAGTGAGCTTAACTCAGTAGCACGAAGAGGTCAAGAGAAAAAGTATTTAAATATTTATAAGATCAAACCAACTATTTAGAGAGGGACAGACCCCAGGGCTGTTGGCAGAAGAGCCGTGAATGGAAACAAATTACAATATATTTGCTTATATTTGTTGGTAATGGGCTAAATATGTTGCCTAATTCCAACCCAATATGAGGAAAGTTCACGAAAACTGAAATGACTATGTTTTGAATTTGAATTGAAACAAATTTCTAATACTTTTTGGATGCTTTTTCATTTGAAAGATATAAACACAGCCTCTCATGCATTGTTTTGGGGGTGGATCTATCATGCTTTGGAGATGTGTCGCAGCCAGTGGCACAGGAAACATTGCACGGGTGGAGGGAAGAAAGGATTTCACAAAACACCAACAAAGTCTGGAAGCAAACATCACAGCATCTGTAAAAGAAAGCTGAAGTTGAAAAGAGGAAAGTTTCTACAACAGGATAATGATCCCAAACATTCCTCAAAATCCACCATGGTCTACCTCAAAAGACACAAGCTGGAGGCTTAGTAATGGCCCTCACAGTCTCCTGACTTAAATATCATTGAAAATCTGTGGGTAGATCTTAAAAGAGCTGTGCGTGCAAGACGCCCCAAGAATACTGCAGAACTAGAAGCCTTTTACAAGGACGAACAGGGGAAAAACTCCCAAATGCAAGAACTGAAAGACTAGCTGGTTACAAAAAGAATGCACTGACAGTGTGGGGTGCCCACAATTTTCCATAAAATGAAACAATGCATGAATGTTTGCTGCAAATATTGTGTTTTATGTTCCATACCCTCGAGAGACTGTGTTAACGAAACAATATATTCTCTCTCTTGACTTTCTTCCCTCTCTTTTGTTTTTCCTCCCTCTCTCCAAGGGTTTGGGGAACTTGGGTCTTCAGAACTTTCACCAGAGGACGCTGTCAGCGGCCTCCTCAGCTACAGCCAAGATAACCTGCTTCGCTGCTGCGTTCATCGTCCCCACATTAGGCATCCCTCCCATACTCCTCGGCGCAGTGGCTGCATCAACAAGTATGGTAACAAAATAAAACAGCACTTGGGAATCTTTTTTCTAATCCTATTTTAATTTGATACATCACAAAAAATGTCTACACTTTGGGCTTAAAAACAGCTGCCTAACATTGTATAAATGTGGTTATAGACATCATCACGTATAGTCACTATATACATACTGATCTACAGTATTTCTGTTGAAGCATTAAATAGAATCAAAAATCTCTATGGTTTACATGTTAAACACCCCTTGACTGTCGGTTTTAGTTACAATTTAAGAGTACGGAAGTATGAAAAATATAAAAAATAACTGTACTATAATGAATCACATTAAACATTGTGCAGTGCAGGATGTATGTAAGATTTTAGACTTAATCTTGATGATGATATTAAACAGTATCATTACCCTGATTAAAATATAAACAGAATTAGATTCAGGAAAATAAAAAGTGTTTAACGTATGTTAAATGTATTTAAGTACATTTTTATTGCTTGTCTAGATGTTTGTGTCCATTTCTCTTTCTCTGTCCACTCACCTTATTTTCTTCATGCTTCTCAGACTGGAACTTGACTTCTTATGGTTCTCCTTCTCCATTTGAACGTGGGGAGACCGGACTTATCCTGCCCATCGTCCTGCAGCACCTTACCCCAACCTACATCTCCATCATCGGTATTGGGGCGGTGGCCGCCGCTGTGATGTCATCCACGGACTCGGCCTTACTGTCTGCAGCCTCCATCTTCACCTCCAACATCTATAGGAACATCCTGAGGCCACAGGTGAGGAAGAGGGGGAGGAGAGTGAGGAGAGGGGAAGTTACCCATCCATTCAGACATCCCTAGACTCTTTCACGTTAGAAGAGGAATCAATTTTAATGTGACATACACAATCATACACAGTACAATGTATAGTGAAATTTGTCCTCTGCATTAACCCTAAGTACTAGGAGCAGTAGGCAGCCACTGTACAGCGTGCATGGACCGAATCCAGATCTAAGCAAGTGTCTTGGAAATTAAGCCAATATACATGTTTTTGACACCGGAGCACCACGGGGAAACCGACGCAAACATGGGGGAGAACATGCAAACTCCACACAGAAAGGCCCTGCCCCAGCCGGGAATCGAGCAACAGTGCTAACCACTGAGCCACCGTGCTGCCCACAGGTTAAGGGGGTCATCTGATTGAATATACATTTTAGAAGTATTGATTTAACAGTGTGTCACTGAACTAAAATATATACAAACAATGGGCCATCGGGGGGAAAAACTGTAAACCACTGATTCTAATTTTTGTTTGTTTTCTTTCCTCCAGGCGTCAGAGCAGGAGATCCAGTGGGTGATCCGGGGCTCAGTGGTGGTGGTGGGTCTGGCCGGTACATCTCTCACCTTCCTGGACAACAGCGTCCTGATGATCTGGATGCTTCGATCCGACCTCACCTACACCCTCATGCTGCCGCAGCTCGTCTGCGTGCTCTTCTTCAAGATCTCCAACGGTTACGGGGCCGTTCTGGGCTGCGTGGTGGGCGTACTGTTGCGGGTGTTGTGCGGGGAGCCGCTGCTTGGGATACCTGCTATTCTTCAATTCCCAGGATGCATTCTGGTAAATGGTGTTTACATCCAGCGCTCCCCGATTAGGACCATCTGCATGCTGTCTGCTGTGGTGTCCATCTTGTTGTTCTCCTATCTGGCATCTCTTCTCTTCAACAAAGGACTGATTCCTGAAAAATGGGATGTTTTTGACGTCAAAGCTCAGTACTCAATACAAACACAAGGTGGCACCAAATCCAGCACCATAAATGAGAACTTGAAAGAACAAAATGAGAACAATGAAGTGTGTGAACCTATGTTAGAATCAACATTTTAAGTAAGAAATATCATTTGAAATACATTATTAGACATTTTCCATCAGCATGGACTGGTTTAGGAACAAATATATGTTATGTGTAATTACATACTTTAAATAGTACAGTATATTTTGAATTTTTGTATACTTTTATATACAGCGTAAATGGAAAAATGCTCTTTGTCATTATAAGAGCTCAACATTTTCTCTGCAATTTTTTGCAGCAGTGTTACCTTAAAATGCCCCCCACTCACCCTCACCAGGAATGCAATGCTCACAATTGTTTCTCACTCTTGTTTTTAGCAACATTTTGTAGGTTGACCATAACTCAAAAGTGCTGCTGTTGATTGAACTTTAGTTTCTTGTTCATAGAGATGAAGGAGGGCTGTTTATGCTCTCACATATTCTTGAAGCAGAGCTATGCAGCTGTCAAACACTGACATTCTGATGCAGGCTTACTGTACCCTCAGAGTGCACAGTGCAGCTGTAATATGTTAAATGAAATATCAGAATACCTATTGGCAAGCACTTAAAATGTAAAGATTTTGACCGAGATCAGGACCAAAAATAAAACTTTCTGCCACACCTCTGGGCTTGGTCGTGGTTGCAGCAGGCTGAGCAATGTAGTCCAGTTGTCCCTCATTCCAGCAACATTTTCTAGCTCCACATGGGTGATCGATCCCAAGGCGTTCCCAAGCACCAGATGAGATATATAATCTCCAATGTGTTCTGGGTCTACCTTAGGGTCTCCTACCAGTTAGACATGCCTGGGAAAACTTCCAAAAGGAAGGCGCCCAGGAGGCATCCTGATCAGATGCCAAACCACCTCACTGGCTCCTTTCCATGGGAAGGAGCAGTGGCTCTACTGTGACCTCCCTCTGCATATCTGAGCTCATTCTCTATCTCTAAGGGTCAGCCAATCCACCCTAGAGAGCGATCTCTATTATCAAAATTGTCAAAGACAAAATAAAAGTCGCTTAATGAAGAGGCCGGTGAGGCTCATTATGTAAATCCACTCCTTCAGTCCATAGTATAGCAGGCTTTTGCGTTTAAAGGACCAGTGTGTAGGATTAAGCGGCATCTAATGGGGCGGTTGCAGATCACAATGCCCTCATTTCACCCTCCCATTCCAAGCATGTAGGAAAAACTACAGTGGCTGTGAAACTTGCAAAAAACACAAAAGGCCCTATCTATAGCCAATGTTTGGTTTGTCTGTTCTGGGCTACCGTAGAAACATGGCAGACTCCATGGAATATGGAATGTTCAGGTGATTATACAACCGATCCTCCTGAATGTATGACCAGGCGTTAATACTGCTGACATACAGCACCACCATTGAATGAATACAGAGAAAAAACAGCAGGGCTGCTGTTACAACCCAATGAGGCCAACGGATTGATCTGATTATGGGGTACTCAGGGCCAAGCAAAACAGATTACATGGAAGCAAAGGGGCTTCAGTGAGATGAGCTTTTTAACGTAATCAATTAATTTGAAATAAACCTCCTGTCTTTTCCATTACCATTCTTTTCTTTACACATGCGCATTATTGTTTTATTGTCTTGAAGGAGACCGACCACAGTGAATACAGCCTGAAATAATGGCTGTGGTCACTGGTCTGCTCCACTTGAAACACAACACCCACAATGTGATATGTCTCTGTTATTGTTTTAAACACTATCTAGAGAGATGACTTTAAAGTGTACACAATGTAAATTCACAGGGCACAGTTGATGAGAGGGGAGTCATTTTATGTTTTATATGTTTTAAGTAATATTTCAAGGCCCAAGAACAACCTCAGGATCAATGTGAAGGACATCTCTCCTATAAGAGGACTGTGCTCCTAACTCAGATCAGTGTCATTGGTGCTGAAGATAATAAGTAAAATATTGATCATGGGAGGATAAGACCTATGTTAACAATTATGACAATTTCCCTTTAAGCATTGCTCACTCATCTCTACTGACTGATGGCATAACTAAGCACTAAGTGATGAGCGAGTACACCATTGCTTACACTCAAAGCCAGAAATCTCCACATTCGTAATACGTAAAGCTACCAATTTTACAAACAATTCCTTGAACTTGCCAGTCATGGGCAGAGGCTATTTTTAATGTATTTTTTCATTTTCATTTTCAGCATATATGACGTGTTTTCCAACATAAAAGCCTTTATTAAGAAACTATATTTTGACAAAAGCTATTTAGTTATTGATCAGAACTAAGCAAGAAAAAAAGTTCTCTCAGCTATTTGGGCCAAAAAATGGTTTGTACTAATATGAAAATGAGCATGTTTAATTAGACCTCGTCTAATTTGCATAATTTAATCATAAATCATACAAAAAAAGTCTTGTATTTGGGTGTATATTGATTCTAATGAAATAAAAACCTTTTGGAATATTTTCTCCCCCCTATTCCCGGGTGATGCCTGGTCTTAAATTTCTACAGTCCTCTAATTTAGTTCAACTTCTTTTTTTTTTTATAGTACTGTGCTGGGTTAGGCTTGTATTTGTCAACATCTACATGACTTATAGACCCTTAATTCTGACAGAATTTGTCCTTGAAAAGTGCTTGAATGTATCATTACAAAGAGCGCCAACCCTGTAATTAAGACACATAATTTTATGAGGACAAACATGGATACAATAAGTTTTGGAATGAAACCATTCACTTGTTTAAGTCCACGGAACTAAACCTGACTCCATGTATGTCCGAGCTCATGATGACACACAAAAATAACCGCCCTCTGCTTGATAATTTAACACAGGACTGTATGGCATGCTAGCGCTGTGACAGATGTCCGTACTGTCCTCTGATGTCCGCGTCATATCTAAGTCTATATGAGGTGGCATCTCGCTCCTGACTTGTCTGTGTGCCAACAGCTCTAGTGGAACAATCGTCCCACAGGACAGGGTAACACGGACTGAGATAAAGGTGTTCTATAATAAGACTACACAAGCAAGTGCTGCTGTCACAAGGACGCTGCTGTGGCTGCTTCCTGTGTCCTTTGTCTGTATGTTGATGGTTACGTTGGTGGTGAAGTTAAGACTAAGGTTACTCCTTGACCTTGAAATAAAATTTTTGTTCCTTTGGATGTTCAATTTATTATTTTGTTATTATTATTATTATTATTATCCCAGTAAAGCCCTTATATTTCCCTTTTTTTTAGGTTTTAGGTCAAACTTCCTTCATGAGCTTCCATGAGCTATAAGAAATGTCTTCAATTTAAAACAGCTACTGTTACGGCTACTAAATGCACAAATTCTGAAGTCTGACTATTGATGGGTCTGGATTCGGTACACCACTAAATATAGTTTCGTGTATGTGTGATAATACAAAAAAGGGTGTCATATCTGTCAAAGCTCGTCTCATCCTAGAGACACGCCCTTGTATTGGTTCTCAGAGTCCAAGGTAAGCAAAAACGTGTGTGCAATTGCTTGTAAAATGGGATAAATTATCAAATACACTTTGAGGAGTGAAACAATTCGGCTTTTGCTATCAGTACAAACACATGGATGTCACTAAGGCTGACTCTTGCAGATTTTAAGGCAAAACAAAATGAAAAGGATTCCCAAAAATGGCACTGCATCACATTTTCTCTACTGGAAGGGAACCCCAGAGGGCACTTTATCACATCTTCTTGAATACTGGGACACTGTAGAGGGCGTTTTATCTACCATAGGGGCCTCCGAGAAGAAGGTACTGTTGCTGCGTGGTTATGGTTCGAGACCAGACTGAACTTATAGTTTAATGCAGTCTGCTTGATCCACATTTGACTTTCTTCAGCAGAATTGTTGAAACAAGTTAAACTCACAGGCACACACAGTGCAGGACCTGATGTGTGATGTTGCAGTAGAACATGCAGTGACACCTGCTGGTCATCTGGTCGCAGCACAACAGAGCACCAATCCTGCTGAACGTGGTAAGACATTTAAGTTTAACGTTTATCCAGGGTGACTTACGATGATATCTTTAAGATTACAGACAACTTTATACTTTATGGAGAGGTCAACAGTGCTGAATAACAGTGCCGAGTACATGAATCACTTTCAGTTTTACAAAACATTGCAAATGCAGTAGCACAGCCATGGAGCTTGAAGAGATTCAGGGGTCTTGGACAGTCACTTCCATAAGGCAGAGGGCAACCTGTGGAGGTTAAACCCCTCTCCCTGGCCACATATTTTTTTATATTTTCTTTTACCACTGTTTTAACATTTCATCAACTAAAATTTGCATCATACCTTTTACTCTATAATTTTTTGCCAGACCTCAATGGCCACTGAGTCTCCCTAGAAATCAAAGAAGAAGTGTTTTGAGGAAAAATAAAATGGCACGTGACCAGATTTCTTTGCTTTTACCACCAACTGCTGGCTTGAGGGCTGTACTACGAAGCGAGGTAACCGGTTTATCCAGGTAACTTCAGGAGTAACTCTGTGACAGCAGGTGTAACTTCCAGGTTAACTCGTACTACAAAAGGTGGCTTACTTTTACCCAGGGTATGTTATCAGGGCAATTTACACTCCATGTCTAACAATCAACTGTTTATTATTGCTCAGCTCCTTCCCCTGAAACTAATGATTATTTTCAGGTAATCTACTTTTGATGAACTGATGTTTTTCATCTAGAAAATGTAAAAGTAGCTTCTTTTTAATTATTCAGTTAATTGACTAATTACAGACATACTAATTGACTTAATATTGTCACATTAAGATGCAGATGTGACAAGCACTTACAATTTCAATAACACTGATGAAACATCCCAGACTGCACAGACTGCACATACTGTACACACTGTTACATCAGTACACAATTTATTTCCCACACATTCAACTTTTAAATACTAAATGACAAAACAATCAGGGGTTGAGGTGAATTGAAAGGTTGATTTAACTCTCAGTGACAGAAATCTACAGCTGCTGCTCTGTCCTTTGTAGGTTAAAACTAATGTTACACATTAGGCCACACCCCGATCAGTGATGTCACAGCGACTGACAGAAAATGGAAAACTGGGCGTCTTGGTGGCCTACGCTTACCAGATAACCCCAATGTCCCCGGTTTCACTTCAGTTAGGACCTTTTACTGCATGCCAACGCCTGTGGGGGCTTGGTGTGCAGAAGGAGTCATTGAAATAGCATAACATTTGTTTTAGGGAGTGAGAATTTAACTTGGTCAATGTTTCATTTAAAGATTTGTAGGATGCACCCTAGAACAGCTGTATCTTAAGATGTCACACTAACAAACAAAAACAAAACAGCACCCATAAAATGCTGAACTTTAAATTCCTTCCATTGTTTGTGCAGCCGATGGAAAAAACAGGATATTGAGTCTTTGTAGGACCCTCACTCTCCTCTTCTCTCCTCCCAGCCCTTACAGAAGTCTGGGGGGGGGGGGGATTCCGGTGCTGGAGGTCATGAGGGCCCTGACGGGGTTCCTGCTTCAGGTTTGTTTGCGGGGTCTCGAGATGTCCCTTCATACACGATCTGGTTCTTGATGCCGTCCTGGATCATCCTCTGCTGAACACGAAGCTTAGCGTTGTTCATCCTGCAGTACAACCTGGAGACAGAGACACAGCAGGGTTTCTGTTTCAAACAGAAGAAACTAGAGTGTAAAATATAAATATGTTCTGATCCAAAAAGAAAGTCAACATAAAGACCTACCAGGATCCGAGTGTGGTAAGCATAAAACCTGCAAATCCCACATCAAAAGACCTCCTTACCCGACCTGCAGACACCAGAACAGGCTGAGTTCAGTTTTTTCCGTACCACGTAAAACAACTTTTATCTGTCATCGTCAGAAAATGGACACATTGGAATTCTTTGCAAATGTTTATAAATTTCTCTAAAGAGGCTTTGGGACTGGTTTGTTTTTTTAAGTTAAATACATACAGAGCACAGAGCTATGCCAAGGTTTGCACAAAAACAAGTGTTTTTGTATAGCAAGTTTTGCAACAAAATTATGTACACACACACACACACGCACGCACGCACGCACACACACACACGCACAGTTCAGATTCAAATAAGACTCACTAGTAGCCAGAAAGTGCAGCAGGCCAGCAGTTACTGAGCCCCCAGCTCCATGTAGGATGGCGTCTCTGGAACACGGAGTATTCTGGACATCCAGAATCCCGAGCAACCTAAAACCCTGAAGGACAGACAGACAGGAAAAGGCAGAAACAGTTACGGGTCGGGCCATGTATGAATTGGTAGGTTCATTTTATCATCAGAATTGTGTTAAGACTTTTTTTGCGAAATAAAAAAAAAACTGAAAACCATGACCCCAAAACCACGATAGGAACTGAACTGTCAGTTCTGTGAACTGTTCCACCCCTACTAGAGAAATACTGTAAATTCACGCATTCTTGCCCATGTTACAAAGACTCGTATCATCTGAATCCATAGTTACTTTACACATGCTTTGCCCTGACTATTTTCCATGTATTGTTTTTATAGTAGTATAGTGTATTTTGTAGGCCCTGTGTAACACTGTGTGTTAGTACTAATGTATTACAGTGTGTATGTTATCCAGGGAGCAGGCAAGGCAATGTTTTCATTGAATGGAAATGTACTGATTGTGTTTTAATGCACTTAACAAAAAGAAATCCTTTGTGAATCATGACACCGGTAAATTTCAGGGATTTCCTTGTAATTAATAAAAAAAATAAATTAAAAAAAAAAAAAAAAAAAAAAATCACACTGTGGGGTCCCTGAGTAACGTCCCAAACGTTTGAATTGGATGGAGTTGGAGAATGAGTTGAGCCATAGAGATAAATCTATTTGGTGATAACCTGTGAGCCGACCTTCTTCAGTGGGAATGTTTCTGAAGAGCTTTTCACTAACTGAGTTAAGTTTAATGTTTAAATGGTTTGGCCAAGTCATTTCTAATAAGGGTTAGTAGCTTTATTGGCTAACTGACGTATTTTATTCTATTTATATATTTATATATTAGATTATATATTGCTCCTGTTGGACGTTATGTTAACATCAACCCCAACCAACGTTAGCTGTGGGCTCGTTACTTCATGTCAGACACACGTTGGTGAAATGATAACATGAACAGTAATGAAACAGCTCCTGAACATTCACCGCTGCTGTTGACCTTCTAAAAACTGGAAGCTTCTTCTTCTTCTTCCTCCTCCTCCTCCTCTTCTTCTTCTTCCTCTATTTCCAATGTAACATACAGTGACACGAGGCCCTTACCTTGCTCTTGGGCTCCTCTTCTTCTCCTGCCATTGTTCAGCTGTGTTTGTGCTGCTTCTGCAGTGTATCTATTCTAGCTCTTTCATTTCTAACCCCGTCATGTAACAATCATTTTCGTAACCATGTTTGCCTTGGCGCATGCGCTGTGCCTAGCGAGTGGTCCGTCCGCTATTAATCGCCGACTGCAAAAGAGCAAACAGCAGATGTATAGTTCCGGTATACACATCATTGGGCAGTATTAGGGAAATACTACGGTAGCCCACACGTGCGACTGTAAAGCTTCGTCTAACTGTATTTGCATTTAAAAATGTGTAAGAGGGTTATGTTTGATAGATGAAATTATAATGTGTGTGTGTTTGGGCAAATATCTCTTGCTTTTAGAAAACAAAACAACTGTTTGTTATTTTGTTATTTTATTTCAATTGTTTGTTTGTTTAAGCGATTTATATTTTAGGTTACTTGTATGGGTTGTAGCCGTTTGGTATTTGGGAAATGGAGTCACCTTCTAAATATTTGTTTGTTGACAAAAGTTAAATACTTACTATAATATGTTTAGATCAAATATTTTCTTTTTGCAGCGTAATTTTGCTCATTTGTAGGATAAGGCTGTATTTGTGCTACCATTTATTTTATATTGTGAATATTGAATATTGTGTCAGTAGAAAATAATTAGTAAATGAAACCCCAAGGATGAGTTTCGGAAGTCTGCTCACTTGTCCCGAACAGGTAAGCTGGATCATACTGTGCCATCTTAATCCATTATAACCTTCATTCTCTGAACGACAGGATCAAAGTCATAAATAAAGCATGTCAGGAGGAAGTGTGTGTGTCACAGTGATAAAACAGGATTATTTCACCGGCAGCAGGCGATTACCTTATAGTCTTCACCCTGCTGCACACACACATAGCTTTTAGGGGTCTGGAGGATATATTCTGCTGTTTTAAATACAAGTCTTTGAAGTTCCATATTCTTATCATGTTTTACACCTTAGATACAACAAAGGGACTTTTTTACACTTTTTTAAATCAGAGAATATAACCACATATTCAGATCTCAATTATTGTGCAATTTGCTGGGAAAAGTCGTTCCCATACCAGGAGTCCAACCCGGGCCACCTGGGTGAAAACCAGGAATCCTAACTGCTAGACCATATGGGACACTACACCTAATTTGTATGTCCATCTCAAAAAACAATAACAACTTTATCTAGCTAAACCCTTTCAATTATTTTATTTACTAACCCCTTTGCTGGTTGTATTTCCAATTATACACTTTACAGTTCAGCCTCAGGACATCGTCCAAAGGCTAAAGCTTACATGTGAACATTTAAATCTCATCCCTCCTTCAATAACTACTACTGTCACACTGACCTTGAGCAGAGCACTGAACCTAATACCAATATTATTTTTATTATTATATGAGTGTAACAGGATGTAAAGGTGATATGGAAAGAGACTAATCCCCTTGAGTAAAGGTCAAAACTGTACTATGACAAAAACAGGTAGGGTTGACATCCAATATGAGCAAGTTTCTTCCTGGATACCAGACTCCTCTGTGCTGTATAAAGACTGAGCAGGACACCTGGCCTTTGCACACTACCTGCAGAAACCAGAGAGGTAAGTTGGGCTCCTTTACACCAAAAAACACAAGGCGATTTCCATGTTATTTATTCCTTTTTATTACTTAATGTGTGGAAGTGTTGCAGAAAAAAATAAGCAAATATTAACTGTATGATTAAACTGTACTTTTTAAGATCCAGTGTTATGTTTACAGGTTGTCACTAATGATTTTATTCATGGCCAATATAATATATTACTGTAATACTTGATTTGCCTAGTTGTGTTGTTTGTGGGTCAGGGGTAAAACACCCCATTAGGAGTTCTTTCTTGATTAATTAAAGCTGAAGAGGGAACACGAGTAGATGATCTAGACCATGCAAAGGGTAAACCATGTTATTTCTACTCAGACTTGCAATTGGTTGGCAGCTGTCTATCAAAATGGTATATCAGAACAGCTCAAACATAGTTCTGATAAATAACATTTTATTTATATAGCAGATTTTAAAACAAAGTGCCGCACATGATATAAATGACTAAGTTATTGATTCACTGACTAACTAACCCAGCTCGTCTCCTGCAGGATGATGGCTGTGCAGGCCAGCAGAGTGATGTTCCCCTTGGTGTTGAGTTTGTTTCTGGGAGCCACATCTTCCATTTGGCCCCTGGCCACTGCAGGTGAATAAGACAATCAGTTGACACTGATCTGAGTTTTTGTTTTCACATAAAATAAACCTCTTGTACAAATCATTCAGAATTTTATTGTGAAAAATGCATGATTTTATTGGAAAGTTACAAAAAAGAGACTCAGAGAGACCATGACCGTGACCTTTGTAGATATTTCTTATCAGTCAGTTGGTGTTTTGGGTGCTTTAATTCATCCATTCAGCACACCCCATACTGTGCTGTACTCTGTATTCTGTGAGGCAAACTGTCTTTGATAGTCAGACTGAGGTGTACACTGTGGTGATTCTGAGCGGATGTAACAAAGAAGGGACGTTTTTGACTTTCTGTCCTCTGAATCCTTAAGATCCATCTTTATTTTAGGAATTGAAAGGAAGCATTTAGCAAACAGTAAGTAAGGTGTATACTTTTCAACTCAATACAGGTATGGAGCAAACAAAAGTGGAAGGAAAGTCCAAAGAAAGACAAGCAAATACATTAAACTAACTTCAATAAAATGCAGGAAAAAATAGAACATGGTTATGTTGGTAATATGAAATAGATGTGTCTGAATTGTTGCATTAGTACAGAATACATGTGAATGAACTGTGACATCAAAGTGGTAGTGGTACATCACAAAGAAAGAAGAAGTGGGGTTTATTAAACAGGAAATATGCATACACTCAGTCACAAGCCTTGCTGCTAATGAGTTAGCAGGGACTCTCAGGGACTTTCCCAACACCTCTCGCGAGAAAACAGTCCGTTCATGACATTTGTACCGAATTGCAACATCTTCCTTCACCAGAGGCCTTCCAGCTGCCGCCCTGCCAGCTCATCAACCAGACAGTGTCTCTAGAAAAGGAGGGTTGTCCCAAGTGTCACCCAGTGGAAACAACAATCTGTAGTGGTCACTGCATCACTAAGGTATTGTGGATAGGCAAGAGGGTCATCGGTGTATTATTATTTCCCTTTACTAAGGTGGCCATAACCAGTACCGCCATACTTACACAGTGACAGCCTCTTAGGATTTTACACCACTGACAGTTTGACTGTCATAGTAGGAAAAGCACAGGTGTTAATAACAAAATGAACTGCGCTTCTGTTCAGTATAGTTGTTTCAGTGAGTCATGACAGTGTGACAGCCAGCAGGAATAATAGCAGGACCTTGGAACCAAAGCAGCTAAATGGAATTCAGACGTAATATTTACATGTTTTTCATGTTACATTTTTTTGTTTTATTTTGGACTTGTGCATTCCCACTTAATTTAGGTTTTCTTGGGTTATTGAATAGTTTTGAGGTACCCTGTATTTGTCCAAAGAATGGTTGATATGTGCTTGTTTACATCAGCTTTGCATTCACAGACTTATGTATGATGTTAGCATTGTGGCATTATTCTTTACAAATTAGTTCACTTTGTTATTTTTGCTCCCCTCCAGGACCCTGTCATTAAGATACCATTCAGCAATGTTTATCAGCATGTGTGCACGTACCGGAACTTACACTACAAGACATTTGAGCTTCCTGACTGTCCACCTGGTGTGGACCCAACCGTCACCTACCCCGTGGCTCAGAGCTGCCACTGCGGCCGCTGTGCCATGGACACGTCTGACTGTACCTTCGAGAGCCTGCAGCCCAACTTCTGCATGAATGACATACCTTTCTACTACTAGTCTCAATAGCAGCATGAAGCACATGCTAAACTGTGCTTACTTTCAGCATCAACTGTTGTAAGGATTGTCACATTTACCACTGCAAAATAATTTCTTTTGTTTCTATTTCTCTGTGCAAATAAAATACCCACATTGAACATTTCTTTGAACTTCCTCAAGGATGAAGGCTGTTACTCCCTGGGGTTATCAAGTAGGGGCAGCATACTCTCAGAGAGCTCCTAATTTCTAGCCAGGAGTCCTAGCTTAGGAGTGATTTAGGTACATTCTCAGAGCAACTCTCTGAGTGAAGAGGCGTGGTTGACGTTGTTGCATTTACCTGTAATTGATAGATTAAAAAAAAGGAGCTCTCTTAAGGCCTGAGATGTCTTGTGAATAACTTATTCTTGTCATAGATTTCATAATTCTAAGATTTTCCTTTGAATTTCATTACTTATAGTTCCTCTTATTTTCCTTATTCTAGTAGTTTTTGTAACCCCATCCTGCAAGCCCTGTTACTCTTTGATATAACATTACGCAATACATCTGATATCTGACCTATCTTTGAGGATTTATAGGTCTTAGAGAAGCAGTGGTGTGTGAAAATAACATTGTTAACTGGGTTCTAAAATAGGTACACTATCATTGATGTTTACTGTAATAAAATATTGTTGACACTAGAATTGTAGTAACTGTACAGTGAAAAAGATAAAATAGGTGTATATGTCTACAATAAGGCCAAGCTAATACTTATTATTATTATACTACATTAAAATATATCCATTCTACATATCAACCAGTTTCAACAGCATTTTAATGATTCATCTCATGATACTCGTGATCTTTTCAATTGTAGCCAGTTAAAAGAAGATCGGGCATTAACAAAAACAACAAGCTGTTTTTACTGTTCTGAGTTTAGTCAGCATTAAAGGAAAGATTGATAAAACCTGTTAACAGTCTTTGAAGTTTGGGAACAGATACCAAAGTATGTGGGTAATTATAAACGCATCTCCTTAATATTTTGATGATAAAACTGGTCAGTGTCCTATTAATATAAGGTTTCTGTGGAAATGTGGACATACAAGTCTCTGCCAGCTGATCTGGCTGGGTGGATTGTCTCAACATCCGCTGCTTTCGATTTTTTTTTTTAAAGAATTAATGAGTGTAATGTCATTGGTGCCCGTATGCATAATTACTGTAGGTACAGAGGGATGATGGTCAAGGATGGAGGGGATAAATTGCAATAAGTCCTTAGTTCTGGCCCTGGAGGAGCAGTGGGAATGTTCCACTGCTCCTCCAGCTTACCTCTGCTTACCTCTCGGTAATTCCACAAAACCTGATTATTATGTGCCCAAGAGTCTGGACAGTGTGCAACTCTTTGCTGCAGAGGGCACCATTCATCAGCATCATCACTAGATAGTTGAGAGACTGTCTGTGGCTAGTCCTGAGGGGGAGATGATCTGCCTTCTGTCAGGTCTGCCAGCAGCACAAAGGAGTACACTGCCTCCAGATAAGGCCATTCTCTTTCTTTGAATGTTTTGCAGCCACCACACTTCCTTCTTCATGTTTGTAAGGGGAGGGTGAAGCGAGGCACTTGCAATCTGCAACTAAACTGCAAGATGCCACTAAATCCCGCACACTGGACCTTTAAAAGTGACAAACAGACCGACAGCTGTCTCACATGGGGTGAATGTGCAACAGTAGATCCACATACGGTTGGTATGAAATGGCTCTAATAACCTCGGTCACATCTCTTACCTACATTCATGCATTGCCTCTCTCCCTTTTTCTGTCTCTATCGTTCTTATGCATTAGTTCAGTGTTGTCGACTTTGTAGTTGCTGTGGCTGCTTTGACACAGTATGTTAAAGTTTTCTGTCTTGAAACTGTTTTTCAGTTCTTTCCGGGTGTGTTATGCCCAGCTCAGGACCATATATTAAAAAGGGTCACACAGTAACAATTGAAGTAAATTTATTTATTTATTAACAATAACTCATTATAAGCAAACAATACGTGAAGACAGCAGTTAGTAGTGAAGTGTGGGTGAGAAACTGTAGTTGGTAATCTAAACTACCTGTAACATGAACAAATGATCAACTAAAGGCAACCAAACAAAACAAAACCAATGTTGAGTGACTGAAAGGCAACAGCCTTCCAGAGGGGAAAGAGAGCGTCATCATTGAACCAGCCAGTTTATATAGGCTCTCAGCTGGTGAGACCAATAACTTTAATGACGTGGGAGGAGCCATGCATTCAGGGAGAACCTTATGGTTTATTCATTTTCATTTGCGCGATGAGATCACATACATAGTCAAGACAAAGACATGAATGGGCTCATACCACCTAAGAAAACCAGATTAAAAAGAGAATATTTACCCAAGTTACGAACATCATTAAAAACAACATGAAGCTGACTGTGTAAATGTTGTCATGAACTGCTGATATCATTGCTGTCCATTCTGCAACAACACACAGAGGCCAAAAGCTTGTCTATGGTCCCTTTTCTCACGAAAACATACAGAACTAAGTCGGCAAGAGGATTCAACCTAAGTAACATGCCATACAGGTTGCTGAAAGTATTGTTATTTCTTGCTCCCTCTGCCAGGAACCCAATGATGGTGGGCAGGAACAGCAGTGTGTAAATAAGCAGCACCAGGACCAAAATTCCCACAATTCTTCGTTTTTCGTCAGGTGATACAAGGCTGGCAGACAGGGTTTTGAGGGTCCCACAAAGGAAGAATATCAACAGTGGGAAAGGAAGGAGGAGGAATGTGCCGAAGACGATATATGAGACTTTAAGACCAACCCAGAAAAAGAAAGCAAGGAAATAGAGAGGAGGAAGGGCCCAGACCACGATACAGACCACCACAGAGGTCTTGATGGTTCGTCTGAAGCGGTACCACAGCGGGAAGGCGATGACCAAATATCTGTAATACAAGATGGACACACAGTCTTTGAGGAGCTTCAGAATTCTATAGTAATATAATGGTCAGACACAGAAGTAGCTACACACATACTGGATAGACAGATAGCTACCTTTCCAGGGCGACGCACACCATGAAGCTGATACTGACAATCAGACCACAGTTGTACATATAAAAGATGATGTCATATATCTTCTGATCCTCATGTCTCCCCACTCGAACAATCAAGCAGACGAGCTGAATGAGGTCAGAAATGAGGAGGTTGATGACGTAGATTGGAGCAATATGATCATTTCGCACCTGCAGGAAAACATTGGTAAAAGTAAACAAGCAGTTGTAAACATGTTCTGAACTCCACCTCCTCCCAGAAATTGCTGAGACATTTATACATTTTTCATCAAACTCTCATTTGTGCTGGCAAAAAAATCAGATATGACACACTGTGTCAGTCACTGCAGTAATGCAGCAGACTGGAGTCACAGATGTGTGTCTGTTTGCAAGGTGCACTTCCCTCCTCACTGAGTATGAGAGCAGTTACACATTGCTTTATGTATGAATGTGTTTTTGTGAAGAAGGCTTTTTTTTTTTTTTTTCTACACACACACTACACTTCACTGTTTATATTTATAGTAATTCACATTTTTATTTATTGATCATTTTTGTTTAGTTTTTGCTAAGCACTTTGGGCTGCATGTTTGTATGAAAGGTGCTATATAAATTGAGTTGACAATGCAAAGTGAAATAAAACATAAATGAACGCATACATTTATTAAATTAATTCATAAAAATAAAGAATTTAATACATGAAAATCAAAATGGAAAATCAAATGAAAAAGTATATCAATTAATATTTATTGGGGAATTAATACAATGGTTATTAAATACACAAAAATCTGCAGTAAATCTTTTGATTATTAAATGCCTACATTTTATTTTGTCATATTGAATAGCACATTGATTGATTTATTGAATAATTTATTAATTCTTTATTTATCTTTTGGCAGTCATGGTCCTCCAAAGGACAAGACAATCGCCCCATTGTTTGATCAACTTAAACTGCTACAAAAATTAAATTCTTCTAATGAAAACAGACAGAATCTCCTTCAGCCAATCCAAGATCTAGCTGTGACCAATGATATCAACTCCTGCATCCACGTCTTCAATAACATGTTCTCAATGACCTAACCTAAAATACAACATTTATGGAAGAAAAATAACCTCTCAATATCACAGTGGCACCTCCTACCATTCGAGTGCATTTCAACACAAAGACAAACAACAGTAAAAAACAATAAAATATATAAATTTCATTGGCATACTCACATATCATAAAACCAATCTATGAACATACACACAGACAGATCCCCACCCATTTACTTCTCAAATTATGTTTTTTTTTCCTCTCTTGGGTGCACACACAATCCTCTAAAAAAGTTATTAGGTTTATTACAGTCAGTTATTACATTAATTCTACCAAAATAAAAAGATACACAACCAACTGAAACACACTGAGTCAACCAAGCGTGTAGGAGAAACTATGGTAGCCACAAAACTTTAAGAGAAGCGTGAATGGAACTACACATGTAAACTGTATAAATAATAAAACATAATGATGTGGTAACAACTGTTACAAACAATGATTATTATTTTCAGGTCATTATACACTAATGAAAATATACCTATAATTATTATGAGTACATTTCTGCCAATAGATCCTTATAAAAAAGTTACACACTTTTAAGAGAAGACTGGAAGCAGTCACACATGTAAACCGCAAGTGTTTAGGTCCAATTAACTTTACATACATTTTAATTATAAGTAAATGATTCCTGTAAATCTATCACAACACTTCCCCATCCCAGCCCCAGATTCTTTACAGACAGACAGACAGACAGACAGACAGACAGACAGACAAATGACACAGACAGTTTAAATCTTAGTCTTAACATTAACTAATAAAAACAGTTAATGTTTATATATAATATCTATATATAATAACAATGTGCAATAATTACTGTGCAATAATCATAATAATAATAATAATAATAATAATTACTGTGCAATACCATTCCATATTCACCGTGCAATCTATTGCCCATGTGCAACTGCTGCTACAACTTTTTGTCTTATTTGTTGTTGTGGATTTCTTACTGTTTTTTCTCTTGTACAGTGTTTTTATTTATTATTTCCTACTCTTACTGTTTTTATACTGTTTTTTTCTCTATCCACTTTGCTGCTGTAACATTGGAATTTCCCCATTGTGGGACAAATAAAGGAATATCTTATCTTAATGTACATACCTGAGAATAAAGAGTATAGATGGCCACGAGGGTCAAAGGAAGGCTGATACAAATTATTATGCATGTCATTACAAATTTGATGAATACAGCGTTGTTATTATCATCAGAGTTGGAGGTGATGTTGCTGCAATTATAGCTGTTGGCCAGTGAGGAGTTGTTAATGTAGAAATCTTCCATTCTTCAGGGTGAAACCTGTAGTTTGAGATATCAGGTTATAGAAAGGGAGACAAATGTTTTATGTCTACCTAACGTTCAGTGATATCACTAAAGCTGCAGTTCACACTAATTTAGTATACATTTAGTATAGTCACAATCATAAAATGCTGTTTCTATTGTCATTCCTTAATATTTGTTACATTAATAATATTTAATCAAATAACACACTTTCAGATTCTAATAATTCAAGTTCTGGTGATAATATAATGTTTTTAGGTGCTGATATCAGGTCATTACTGCAGCCCCAGAACATCATCTGGTTGTTTCATTGATTTAATGTAATGTTTAATGTTCATGTGCATTGGTTGTAGGTACAACGCCCCTCTACCCTTTGATTCAATTCTTCTTATTTTGTTAGTACCCATTGAATTCAGAACATTTACCAATGTTTTCTTATTTTGCTCTACAAAGAAAATGTTAGTGGTCGAGAGCACTCTCACCAAGATAAGAAAAGAACATTTAGTTTTCAAATTGTTTGTCTGACGCAAGAAAACTTTTACGGACCATAAAACAGGCATATATCATATAATCAGATTATATTATATGTTTAGAGTAATTCTAGTGATTGGGTGATTCAATTTGTGGGCTAAAGAAATACTATACTGTGTGTGGAGCAGACTAACCCGGACTCTTTAGTTATTGTCCTTGGTGACTTTAACAAAGGAAACCTCAGCCACAAACTCCTAAAATACAAACAGTTGATTAAATGTCCGACCAGGGAAGATAATATTTTGGATCTCTGTTACACTACAGTCAGCAGAACTTATCACACCGTCCCCCGCGCTGCACTGGGCCTCTCTGACCACATCACCATCGTCCATCGATTCCTACATACAGGCAGAAATTAAAGCTCTTTAAACCTGTTGTGAGGACATCAAAACAGTGGACCAGTGAAGCTGCGGAGGATCTTCAGGCATGTTTGGACTCTGCTGACTGGGATGTTTTCAGGACTGCTACCAACAGTCTGGATGAGTACACAGAGGCTGTGACGTCATACATTAGCTTCTGTGAGGACTGCTGTGTACCATCACACACCAGGGTGAGTTACAACAATGACAAACCCTGGTTCACAGCCAAACTCAGACAGACTCAAAACTTCAGACTTCGAGAGACAAAGGAGCAGTCCTGACACCATCCTCCGTGACACTTTATATCTTTTCTATGCTGCTGGGAGACTTTGTATTAGTAGTAACATTGTCACAAACTATTTTGCCTATCTCTGCTGTCAGCATTTCCTGGAAAACTGTAGACATTAGATACCATTTAATGGATCAATGTTGTGTCAGAACAGACACAAAATACATAACACAACATATAATACCACAATGATTTTGATAATGATAAAAATAATTTGTGAAAAACAAAAAACCTTCTCAAATGTCTAAACAGTAGTTATTGATTTCATATGATGATTCTTGTTCATTCTTTCTTTACCAGATGTTATGTCATTCTAAATACGATATCTTTTTGCCTGCTTCTATCTTTTTAGCTATTTTCACTGCTTTTCTGTAATGGTAAGTGGTAAATGGACTGTAATTGTATAGCGCCTGTCTAGCGCTTAAACACTACATATTTATTAACTTACTCTATTAAACAATCAAATACTTAACAAATTAAGGGAATGAAATAAGACATAATTGGTGTCTATAGTATAATATAGTTTGGCTGCAGTATTCTGCACACCTACAGTCCAAATCTGTTTGCTTATTACAGTTTGCATATTTATTTTCCTGACAGTTTTTATCTTTTTTAATCAATACATAAGAAAAAAGTAATATGAATTTACCTTTGAAAATCAGACTTGAATGAGTTCCCTACACCACTGATATGTTGTCCTCTGCATCCCAACAGTCTACAGTAAATATGGTGATAACATGCAAGCAGGTTGATGGAATCTTCACCTGCTCTTTTAAATATATGTAAATTACATGAGCGCAACATTGATAATAAAAAAACGTGAGATGCATGTAGATGTAAATGTACTAAGCAAACATAGTGTGACCCAACGAGAACCCGGCTAATATGATTAATATAATAGTGTTATTCTAAAATTCCTTCACAATAGTTATGGCTGATTGTATTGATTCTATGGAGGTTGGTGTTGCTGGAAGAATCTCCAACTCTTTAGACAGGAATGTGTTGTTTAGAAAAGCAGGTTATGGAAAGGCAGAAAACTTTTTCTTGTCTGCTACTGTATGACCACCGGTAGCCCTGAAGCTGTACATAAAAGCTGAACATTACCATAGAGCAGGGATCAGCAATCTTTATCAAAACAGCCAGAAAAATCTGTCTGGAGCTTGTGGTATATTAAGTAGCGATGATGTGAAGATGTTTTGAAGAGAAGTCCGCTGACACCATCTTGATTGTATATAAAGGTTTATTACAAAAAGGTACAGCATCATTTCAAGCCCCGGGAGCTTGGAGAGCATCCTGCCAAATGAACAACTCTGTCTATATGCGTCGAACATAGGCTTTATATAGGTCTATTGTTTATTCAAGAAAATAGTAAAGAAACATCTGGCTCTAGTACAGATATGTGAGGTAAAACAGGGAGATGGGGGATTTATTAAGATAAAAGGTCAGAGGCCATTGAGAGGCCCCTAGCCTAAACATTTCATAGTAAGAATCACGACGTTGAACCACATGTCTTACTAACACTGCATATGTTGACAAAAATATCACTTGAACTTATAACAAACTGTAACTTAAATTTATAGGCCTTCGGATACCACATATTTCCCCCTTTCGAGACTACGCAGAGTCTCGAAAAACAAAAGAGTAAAACATACATGTTTAAAATTATGACCAAAATAACAATTCCTCCTACACATGCTTCTTGCAGCATAACCTTAATGCTTAAAGCGACACCTAAATGACTGGCATCAATTTCCAGAATGAAGGGGTGTGAAAAATTTGCATATGCCAATACAGGGGAAGCCACCAACCTGGCTTTCAGATTTTGGAAGCAGGTTTCACATTGTTCAGTCCACGATTCTTGGAGGGGGCGTTTGGATGGCTTTTTAGTCTTGGTGCCACCCAGCTCGGCTACTAGACGATGAAGAGGTGCAGCCAGTGAAGCAAAACCTTGGACAAAGCGGCGGTAATAGCTAGCAAAGCCGAGAAATGATCTCAGCTCAGTGACAGTTTTTGGAGGTTGCCAATTTGCCACTACAGAGATCTTATCAGGGTCAGTTGGTACACCACTTTTTGAGACGACATGGCCAAGGTACTTTACCTCGGTTTTTAGGAAGCAACACTTCTCTAGTTTAGCCTTTAGGTTCTGCACCCGCAAGGTCTCCAACACAGCTCCCAGACGTTGAATGTGCTCATCCACTGTGGCAGAGAAAACAATGACATCATCCAAATAAAGCAGTAATGACTGGTGATTGTGCAAACCAAAGATCCTCTCCATCAGCCTTTAAAAAGTGCTGGGTGCACAAACCAAAAGGCATCCTGTTAAATTCAAAGAGGCCAAAGGGGGTGCAAAAGGCTGTCTTCATTTTGTCAGGTTCGGCAAGAAGAACTTGATTATACCCACTGGTTAAATCCAATGTGGAAAACCAGCGGGCACCTGACAGAGCGCTGAGAGTCTCCTCAATTCAGGGTAGGGGAAAAGCATCTTTCCTAGTTTTAGAGTTCAGGAGACGGTAGTCAACACAAAGCCTAATGGTAGAATCCTTTTTTTTCCACTACCACAATTGGGGAGGCAAATTGACTGTCACGGATGACTTTACTCTCTAGGAGCTGCTGAACATGTGCTTTGACAACAGCATATTCTGAGGGTGGAATACGCCTATACCGCTGGCGGACAGGTGTCTCATCTAGAAGAGGAATTTCATGAGCAATCAGATTTGTACACCCCAAATCACAATCATGGGAAGAAAAAACAGACTGATAGCCATGTAAAAGGGACCTTACCCTCTCCTGGTCTTGAGCTGCAAGAGTGGACAAATCAAGGGCTTCAATGGCAGATGACAGGGGGTTGTCCATCACACTCTGCATTGCCATGGTAACGATCTGCTCACCAGATGACCATGCTTGCCTAAGACTTGAAAATCAAGTTCCAAATAGCCAATGTAAGGGATTTCTAGCCCATTGGCTGCACGTAACCGTAACCAGTGGCACGCCCTTAGCTTCTCTGGGCCCCCTGTCTCAAAATGTTTGGCAAAGAAACTCTCTGTAATAGTGGTGACCATAGACCCAGTGTCTAATAGGCAAGCAATGTTCACCCCCCCATACTAATGGTGACCTTTGGACAGGACCCTACCAAGTTGGGTGTGGGGTCAGAATTTGGAAGAATATCCCCATTGGAGCCTGTGATGCCCCCATCTGAAATGTGGCTCAGCATAACAGAGGGAGCTAGTTTTCCGACTGCTGAAACTGGGAGGGCTGGATGACTGAACCCTGAGTAGAACACCTAAGTTCAGAAGCAACGGCCCTTTCATTATCACAGTCTTTGGCAAAATGTCCTGGTTTTTGACACCGTCTGCAGATGAGTGGCCCTCTCTTCTGAAAGGGTCTGGGCTTGACTGAAGTGTGGTTTGATCGTAGTCCTTGTGTAAGCTGATCAATTTGAGCCTGTTGCTGCTTCAACATTTCCTTAAGCTCTGCCAGCTCTGACCCTACAGTATCTTTCTGACCCCTAGCCTGCCCTGCATGCTGCATGCTATAAACTGAGGGGACAGAATAACTCCTGGGTCGGCCTAGTTCTTCCCCAGATCTGCCCTCACGCTCCCACCTAATAGCTTCATCCCTAATAGCATGAAGGTCACAGTCAGGATGTTCACGAGCAATTCTCCTAAGCTCCCGGCTCAAATTTCCATCCCCTACACACTCTACAAACTGATCACGCAGCAATTTAGCGGCATCAGGGATGCGTTTGTCTGGACAACTCTGGATCATTTTGTCCATTAAAGAAAACATAGCATGTGAAACTCCCTTAATGACTCACCCTCGTGTTGCTTTCTAGCATAAAA